TCATTTAAGAAGGCCCTCTTGTCTCTCCTTGCTATTCTTTGGAAGTCTGCATTCAATTTTCTGTAACTTTCCCTATCTCCCTTGCATTTTGTTTCCCTTCTCTTCTCTGCTATTTGTAAGGCCTTGTTGGACAGCCACTTTGCTTTCTTGCATTTCCTTTTCTTTGGCATGGTTTTTGTTGCTGCCTCCTGTACAATGTTACAAGCCTCCATCCAAAGTTCTTCAGGTACTCTGTCCACCAAATCTAGTTCCTTAACTCTGTTCTTCACTTCCACTGTGTATTCATAAGGGATTTGGTCTAGATTATACCAGACTAACCCAGTGGTTTTTACTACTTTCTTCAGTTTAAGCTTGAATTTTGCTATAAGAACCTGATGATCAGAGCCACAATCAGCTCCAGCTCTTGTTTTTGCTGACTGTATAGAGCTTCCCCATCTTTAGCTGCAGAGAATATAATCAATCTGATTTCGGTATTGCTCATCTGGTGATGTCAATATGTAAAGTCGCCTCTTGTGTTGTTGGAAAAGAGTGTTTATGACGACCAGCTTGTTCTCTTGACAAAACTCTATTAGCCTTTGCCCTGCTTCGTTTTGAACTCCAAGGCCAAACTTACCTGTAGTTCCTTTTATCTCTTGACTCCCTGCTTTAGCATTCTAGTCCCCTATAATGAGAAGAACATCATTCTTTGGTTCAGTTCTAGGAGGTGTTGTAAGTCTTCATAGAATTGGTCAATTTCAGCCTCTTCAGCATCGGTGGTTGGTGCATTAACTTGGATTACTGTGATGTTGAAAGGTCTGCCTTGGATTGGTATTGAAATCATTCTATCATTTTTGAGATTGTATCCCAGTACAGCTTTTCCCACTCTTTTGTTGACTATGAGGACTACTCCATTGTTCTATGGGATTCTTGCCCACAATAGTAGATTGGAGTGGCCTGGAATGGGCCAAATCATCATCACCAGCAGCACCACCACCATCATCTTACAACTGAAGAGCTGGAAGGGACCCTACGGATCATGGAGTCCTAGTTCTATCAAGGAGGTAACTCCAAACCTCTGTCTCTGCAGCCAGAGACCTAAATCACTGCGCTATTCAGCATACTGGGATATACCTTAATGAACACATTAAGTTATACCTACCTGAAATCGGCCTCGTTGGAAAGATCCAGCCACAGATTTAAAATGACCTGCCACTGTAGTGTCTGTTGTTGCTTGTTCAGAGAGAGAAATCCAGTCAGGAGCAACTTCATCAGTCATCTCCTCTGTTGAGGATTTTTTATTTTATTTTATTGAAAGGAAGGAAGGAACACACACATAAATAGAACATGGTCAGGTAATGCTGGAGTGTAAGGACCCTAACAAGCAACATTCATTAGAAAATATGATTCTAGCATACATGTAGGCTTATTTATTTATTCATTCATTCATTTATTCATTTACTTATTTATTTATTTGGTATCCCAAGACCTACACACTTCTATGTGGAATGAAAAAAACTGGTTAATCAAACTGCAAAACAAAGTGGTAATGAATGGAATGTTACAATGGTGAGTACGGTAGGAAAAAGTTATATATGAAGTAGTGCAGGAAATGCCCCAAAAAAAGAGGGGAGGGGAGAGAAAAGAAATGTACATAAAGAAATCAAAACAGATGTTACCTAGTCTAGATCCCTGACTGTAAGCACACTACCTTGCCGGACTTTTGATCTCTTGAAAAAGCTGGTCTGCCGTAGCCTGTACGCCCAGCTTTTTAATTTGCGAGTCCAGGATTTCTTGCTAATAGGGTTTTTGAGACTAGGGCAAGTAAAGCTTAGGCCAAAATATCCACCTCCTGCATGCAGGTGTACAGCTCCACCACTTGATGCTGAAGCAGGACAGGCCACAGGGTTCTCAGGGAATGAAGCCTCCAGAGACATCTCCTGAATGAGACAAAGGGTTAGGGGAGAAGAAAAGAGGTGGTATTTACCTAAAAGCATCATTGTCATCAAAAGGGCAACCTAGGCTTAAGGGCCTTAGGAGACTACCTCCTCATTAAATGTTCCAGATACAAATCTCCAAACTCAGCCAAGTGCCTAGTCTTGAAAAGAGCCCTTTGATAGGTTAAAACAAGTACATGAGAAACAATGATATCTGTTCTACAATTATGGAATGGCTTGTCCCGGAAAAGACATTTCCAGTCCCAGCACAAAGTGGCCCTAGTAAAGACCACATCTGTACCAGTTCAGACAACCTGTTGTTCTTAAAAAACTGATCTGCTTCTCATATCATGCAAGTATTGACAAAGGTAACGACACCTAGTCAGGATCAAAGCTTGGAAAAGTGTTTTTTCCCATGCTGATTTTGCATTCTGAATGGATGTTTCTGAAATACACTGGCCATAATAATTTGGGAGAATTTTGGAAGATGGATACAAAAAATGTAACTTTTCCAAGCAGATCAAGTCTGCTACTGCAATAAATCATTGAGCAAGAAAAAAAATAATAATGCTGGGATAATTTGTCCACAGGGAACCCTTACCTCTTATTTGATAGCATCCACTAGGCTGGGAGATGGTTTGGTATAACTATCCAGCATAATTCTGGATTGCTCCAGTGGTCGGACTATTGCTTTTAACTCCAGGCAATTTCCCTGCCAATACTCACATGCATGCAGAGATCACTGGGAGCAGAGGTAATAGCACTGGGCTCCCTCCTCAGCACTGGTAGACTCTCAGGATGACTTGTGGATGGAATGAGCATAGCCTGAGGATCTGAAAACTTGGTGGGGCTTTGCTGGGTCTCTTGGGGGGAATTTGTATCTAGTACTTCTGGAACTGGGCAGGGGAGAGAATCTTCAGCAGATGATGAGAATGGAGACTCCGCTGCACTTTGTGTGTCCTTCTGGCTCTCAGGAGAAGTGCCTGACAAGCTGTGCTCCTGGTACAGAAGTGTCCGTAGCTTCTCATCCAGAGTTTTGATGTTGTTGTCAACAAAATCCATCTTAGGGGGACCCTCACTGTCTGACTCCAGAGTGGATGCCGAGGGAACACCTTCCTGTCCTGGAGTCTGAGCCACAGCACAGGCCTGTTCAGCATTTATAGAGTTGTCAGCTTCCTCGGTGGCCAAGTTTTGACTGTTGGTCGGTCTAGTCAGGAAAGTCTCGGCAGACAAATTCAGTTCAATGGTGCCAGATGCTGGGTGGGGTATATATGGAGACAGGCAGGTTCCCTCGGCCTGAGCCTCCACCCCTGAAGACTCCAGCCAAGAAGCCGAATCGTGAGCAGCCACGTCACAGTTGTCACCCGCAGTGGCAGGCAGATGCATATCCATGCTAGCTTCCACTTGGTGAGGAAGAGCTGCCTGCTCCATTTCTGATGTCTGGGGTTCAGATATCAAGCTGTCCTTGATTAGCTCATTTGAGGGAGAGGGAGGGTTGGCTCTTTGATGGCTGCTAAGATTTTCCACAGCCTGTGGACAATCTTGGGGGCTATCTTCTTTGATATTTTCCCTTAGTTGGTCTGTAAACACAAGAGGTGAACTAGTGAGATGAACTGACGGAGAAGTTAAATCGAAGCACAGCCCCTGAAAGGCCCCAAAGCATGTTAATTGCTATTATTGCTTCTTCTAAAACTTACAACTCCAGAGATTGAGCCATTCTCAAATGAGCTCATGACTGAAGATAAAATGACCTGTAAAAGCCCTGACTTAATCTGAGCTCCATGCAAGCAGCTCAGAAAACTAGAATGATCTCATTTGAAGCAGGACAGGGTCATTAGAAAGAGAAGCCTAGAGAAATGTATGGGTGCTATGACATAGGGACAGCTAGTGTAATTATCATCATCATAACCTTTATTGGCATAAAACATACAACAAGCTAGTGTAATCTAGAATGTTTGTACCTCATTTATTTATTTTAAATATTTATGTGCTGCTCTTAGAATGCCCTTCCTCAATTCTAATAAGAATAGTTTAAAACTTTACCAATGAGTATAGAGTACAAAAGTGGGAAACAGAAAAATAAAGGGAAAACAAAAAGATACCTGAGAACATTCTAGGTTTAGACATGTACAAGTCATGGCAATCTAAAAAAAAATCTTACTGTTGTGTCAACACTGTGATTTTTAATTCATTACTAAATATGTTGCCTGGTTGTCAATTATCATCACAAGTCTGATCTACATTTCATTACACACATTACTTCTTAGTTCTCAATAAAACAAACTTAATTTCTGGTTGGAAAAAATATAATATAGAAAACAAAGCAAGGGCTGGCATCATGTGAAGAGACCAAACTACTCTCAATAATAATTCTATGTTTGAAGAGGCTGGCTAGGTTAAGTGGCTAATGGGCAACTGAGTCTGACCGAGTGTGAGGCTGACTTGCGTTTCTATATTGAAAATGTCCAGAATTTTGCTACAAAGTTGTCAGAGTTGTTGTTGCATAGTTTGTCTTGTACTCCTTTGAAAAGAATCTGCTTATTCATGCTAGAATGTAAATGGGGGGGGGGGCAGGGAGAAGAGATGCAAAGGAAAACAACAAGGTAATTGTGTCAGAAAAATTACTATGGATGAACCTAGCTGGCCTCCTCTTATGCCATTTCCTGCCTCCATCCCACCCCTTCTAATGGTCTGTGTTCAGTCCATCTGTATTGAAAAACAGTAGATCTTTCCCATATTCTGTCTACGTAAGATCCTGCCCAAGAGACAAGTCAGAGAGGAGCCATGTTTTTTAGCCCATCCCATTTTCACCTGTAATCTGACACCCAGGTACAGATGGAGTTGACTGAAGAAGAGTGTAAGGTGTCTGGGATTCTCTGTTCCTTATTGTCTGATTGATGCAAAATCTCCAGCGGCCAACAGGGGATGACTGGGGAGCAGAGTCACCTACAGGGAAGGACAGTAAGAGAAAAAGAAAAAGAGAGAGAGAGAGAAGTCATCAGGGGAGATCACAGTCATCTCTGCTGTGTGTAACAACGAAAAAGGAGGGCTACATCAGAATGAGTGCAGGAACAGCAAAGTAGCTGCAAGCAGGAGAAGTGGCATAGTCCAGCAGTCAGAATCTTGAAGATGACCTTGATACACTAAGGCTGAAGTCCTAACACACATAATAGGGAGGTAATAATCAGAATTAATCCAGTGAGACATGTGTTCCGGTAAACATCCCTACATGTATTTTCTAATCTTTTTAAAAACATTTCTTAATTTTTGAATGTCCTTTTGCTTCCAAGGACACTGAGCAACATATGTCATGGGTCCATGTCCCCATACCTTCTCACTTTTCCTTGGATCAGTGCACATATAGAGGAAAACGTAATAATAGAATTAATACTGACACTGGAACAATTCTGCTTTTGCTTTGCCTCATTTCCACCATTTCCTTTAGGTTGGGAGGGACTCATTAGCAGCAGCTTCCCCAACCATGCCTTCACCAGGTTTATCACAGATCTCATGCATATCTCTTCTGCAGGGTCTGTGTTATATCATGAAACAGTCCCATACATGTATTCAGTGAAATCTGAGTCAGGCAAGTATGGGGCACACTGGGTACATACTGTCCCATGTTCCACTGTGTTGCTGCCATAAGCATGCTCTATTGTAGGAGTATTTTACCCACTGGAGCAGTCTCCTACCAGTATTAAAACACCAAAAGCTATCCCATGACTCCAGATTGTAAGACAAGAAGCTCAAATAATCCAGCAAGAGTGTAAGATCAAAATAGTTTTATTGGTCTTTGCTTGTTTTTCCATAAAACGCTTTCCCGTAAGTTATCTCTTTGGATTCTATATTGACATGGTTGTGTGTGGATATGTTTTCTCTGCTAGTGTAATAAATAGCCTTTCCTATACCTCCCACCTCAAAGGTTATTTTTTTCTAAGGTAAAAAGTTCAACACATTGGCATAAGCACAATGGCATAACCTGGAGCATCAAATAGCTGCTAATTAACGAGTCTCAGAATGAATTCCTATTCACATACTGAGTCATTTAACTGGTGCACAACAAGGAATTCGATCATGGACTTGTTCACTAGAGGCTATTCACTACTCCATGTTGCACTATTGAACTTACACTGAGTTTGATTCAGGCCAGAGTTCACTCTGCTTACAACACACATTGAGTAAGAACAATAGTGTATAAAACAGAACACTGGCAATCCTCGATCACTAGCAAGCTAATCATGTCTATTGCTGTTATATTTACTTTTTGAAATAAAACAAATGAACATGCATCAATATGTGTATTTTAAAAACACAATATATTTAGTCACTATGTGGAGCCACTAATAAGGCATGGGGCTAGGATCCAAAGAACTACACCCTGCTCATTCAGGATTAAAGCATGCTTGATGAAATTTTTTGGCATTTTGGTCTGCTTTTGAAAGACCCATCTATTTCTGAATTGGCTAAGTGTGTGACAAGGCAGAATACTTAGTTGGAGAAACAGTTTACCACCTGGCAAGGAGAAACTAAAATACATTCACTGGTTTCAGAAGCATATTCAAAAGTCTCTTAAGTAAATATACAGGATTAGTTATGTAGTTCTGTGGATCCAAGCCAATGTATTAAACATTGCAGTCCACCAGAAACAAAGAGATGTATAGATTGGAGGTAGTAGAAATTACACATCAGTGGCAGATGGACACCAAATTTCAGGGCAAAAATTGGAAAGCAGCATTGTTCTGTTGAGAAACGAAACAGCTTAATACTAACAGACTGAAGACGAGCACAGTAAAAGTTTGGGTCCAGATGCTAAAACATATTTGAAAAGCAGTCCCTCGTAGTATCTGACCTGAGCTGTAGTGCGTAAAGGAGCACAGCTGGCAATTTTCATTCCTGTTTAAGTTTTTACTAAGCTAAAACCCAGTCAACAAAGAATCTCATTTTTGCTCAAGCACTGTTCCTGTATTTCTTGCATGGGATCTCAGCCGTTCCAGCCATTTAAATGTGAATGCAGCAATTCCACAATTCCACCACAACTGGCACCACACACATGAATTTTGCTGATTATACTCAGATTACCTTTTCCAGACTGGGTACAAAAATATGAACTAGGCAGATTCCTCGTCACTTGTTGCCACAGCAATACATATAAAGAAACCAGACCTGTGAATTCAACTCCTTCAGGAAAAAATAATGGTGACATCTCCAGTGAAAGCATCTGGATTTTAAAGGTAAAACTGAAGCTCCCTCTTTGCTCAGTTTGTAACTGTATCAATCCAGAGTTAATATCATCCTAACAACATCCATTAAGAGTCCATACAACCTTTCCTTTACATTAACACCACTCAGATCTTCAGAATCTTCTAATACAATTATCAGGACCATTGCAGAAATTTAAGCACATGAAGCAAAAGGTAATGCAAAAGATAATAACGAACTCCCACGTAGAGATTTAAAAGGAGAAAAGCCAATACAAAGGACAAAGGCCTTCATCCTTTCCGAAACATCTACTGTTGCTATGATTTTCACCATTAAAGGATGGTGTTTTTGCGTTTTGAGTTGTTTTCTTCCTTCAATATTAAATGTTTTAAAATAATTACTTACTGCCAGTTTGAGTAGATGCTGGGTTTATCTGAACTTGTTCAGAAGATCCTGTCTGAATTAAAAATGAATAGATAAATATAAAAAGGGAATTTCCCAACACAAGCAAACACCATTCCAGAAAACTGGCGTTGCTTAAACTAACAGAACTTACTTGGGTAGCTGAATCAGGAGCAGATTCCATTCCAGAGACTCGATCTTCAACAGGAAGACTGCGGATAATGTCTTGGGCCTGGCACACTATAGCCCTCAACTCATCAACAAACTTCTCCTTCTCATTTTCCAACACAAAGTTATCTTCAACCTAGTAAGCAGGAAAGGGGCAAAAAAGCAAGGTGGGAAATGTAGACACAGCCCTCACTATTGCCTCTTAAATTCTACATTTTCCCCATACCCAAACCGCCATATCAAATGTTAGAACAGCAACAGATGATCAAATCAATTAATTAAAAAGCATCAAACTTGCATACTGTGATTATATATTATATAATTATACATTACATTATTATATACTGTATTATACCTTCCAAAACACATCCACAATATTCTGTCCTTAGAACTTAAAATTATTATAAAACCTAACAGAGAGAAAATCAGTCCCCCCAAAGAAGAAAACATTCATTAGCTAAAAAGTGATTCTCTCCCCCACTCACCAATAGAATGCTTTTTCTTTTCTTTGTTACAATATCATATGCTAACATGGTATCAGAGTACTGTATCTAGTTCTTCTACATTTTGTACAACTCGAATAATCTTAGCTTTCCAAAAGAACAATCCCATTTGGCAGCAAGAAAACACATACACAGCCAGAATTATTGAAATTCAGTCAGTGTTCTTACAACAAATCATCTCGTAATTACACAAGTAATAGGGAGGGAAAATACTGAACCTAAAACCATAACATTATATTAACGTATTCGTTTAAACTGTAGAAGCACACGGGGCTCCCATCCAAGGAAACAATCAATCCATGCCTGCTTAGCTTCTGCAGTGCTGCTTTATCAGGGGCTCTCCGCCAATTCACAGTACACAGTTTAAACATCACTTGTCAAATAATACCACAATACAATAAATCCCAGATGTACAGTATATATGAAGGAGTGCTTTGCTCACGTTGCAGCATCAAAAACTACCAGATAATGCTGTTTCTTTACATTATGTCCTCCTAGGGAATCAATTCTCTTGATGCAGTACTTACGACATTATGAATCAAAGGACGAACACTTTCTTGGCCGTATGTCCCACTTAGCGGGTGGGATCATCTTCTAAGTACACATATATGGACCAGGTTGCAAAACATAGGTCTAAAGATTAATTGTCAATGCCTCTTCCCACTGATGTAATATAGTTCAATCACAGAATGCAACCTTTCCTACTCACTCACTAGTTACTAATTTTTATGACTAAGATATAACTCAAGAGTAACAGTTGACCTTGAGGGGAAAAAAAGGACAAAAAAGAGGCAAAATATTGTGGCACTCTTTATTAT